CAAGACCTTAGAAGTACACCCATGAGTTCCTTTGTGGTAAATATAATGGATTAACTATTCTAAAAGCACTAAAAGATTTATTGTTTAAAATTGTTTGAGAGCTGTTTTACAACAGATACATCAGCCAGGGAGTGTTATTGTCTTATCTGGTTATATTTGTGTCTTTATGGATTCAAATCAATAAATTTATGATAATGTTTCCTGTCTCATATACCATCTCAGGATACAAATAAAATTATATTTTATCAATTAATAATTTGTGATAATGTTTTCTGTCTCATATACAAGTCATTTACTTTCTCAAAAGGTATCTCTCTCTGAGCATAAAATATTACATCTTAATTTTAAATTTCTGTGACTTAATTATTCTTATCCATAACAAAGTGTCCACACGACCAATAAGCTATGAAACATTAAATAATATATTATAATTCAAATTTGGGCATTCTTTAATCTTTGTTAATCTCTTTTGCTAGATTCGGGTTGCTGCCTTGGATGATGGACCTCAAACAAGGCGAGGCTCAGCTTTGGTTTTTGTAGATGTCACCAGAAATTTCAACAGACCTAACTGGATTGTTGGTTTACCAGCTTCTTATACTGTGTTGGAAACAGCTCCTGTGGGTTTTTCAGTGGGGAAAGTGTCTGCTATTGACAGTGATTCACAGGTAAAATCTTCTCTAGCATTTACTTGTTGATCGTTTTTAATATAAGCTTTACATGTTTAGATCTATTATTGTGGAGTTCTGGTTTGTGATGTGATTGTGGTGGAGGTCTGGTTTGTGATGTGATGGTAGTGGAGGTCTGGTTTGTGATGTGTTGGTGTTGGAGCCCTGTTTTGTTAAGTGGTGGTGGTGGGGATTGATACAAATAAACCCTGATGATAATTGTGTAAAAAAAAAATTTTTTTTTAAGTTGTTGATTTGTAAAGGATTATGATCATAAGGCAATTCAACATTAAGTGAAAAGGTTGTCTAATTTTTTTTGTTAGCCTCACTTCAATAGCAATGAAATAAAGCGACTAATACAAATCTATATATATTTTATTCTTAATGTTATAGGGTACCCTGCACCACATGTCACAGTTTCTAGTTATGGATTATTTTTAAACTTGTAAAACCATTGTTAAGTCTAAAATAAACAAAAAAGAACGATTTTTCCTAGAAAAATTGCTGTTATCGTTTAAACTTTTTCAACTTTTTTGTTCTTCTCATTTTTTAAAAAAGCTTTTTTTTCTATTAGTAATTTCTTATAATACAATGTATTTTTTTCATCTTCCAGGCACCCAACAACCAAATTGAATACGTTGTGACTTCAAGTGGAGATTTCTTTCAAGTTAATCCTACTAATGGGGACATTACAGTGAAAATTCCTGCTTATTTGGATCCTACTAACCCTATAAGTTATCCGGTTAGTATGGTTTACATTAGTGTTAAATCTTTGATTCTTATTACCTTAATTTAATTTTTAATATACCTAAAAATGTCCCTGATCAATTTAGAATTTTTTTAAAGCTGAAAATGACCTTAGGGGGGAAATTAATTTGCTGAGTTTAAAAACAATAATTAAATTACAGATTAGGGACGCTTCATAAAGAAATTTAGTTAGGCATGCCAAATTTGTACCTATATTTTGTTTCTGGTTTTAGTCTTCCATGTGTACCTCATGAAAAATATGTACCTAATTTTCCCTGGTTGGTCCTCCATAAAAAGACACATTCCAAATGTTTTCATTGATTTGAAACTATCTTTACTCCTTTCATTCAAATCTTCAGTGGTCAATATAAAACTAAAGGCTGTTTGATCCCCTCTAAAAGACTTTTGGTCCACTCAAAGATAAGCCTTTGTTCCACTCAAAGATAAGACTTTTGGTCCACTCAAAGATTAGACTTTTGTTCCACTCAAAGATAGACCTTTGGTCATGTTAGTGTTAGGATCTTAAAATAACTATAGGTGTATGATGCATCATTAACTGCTTGGTGGTATCTTGGCTTTTTATAGCTATAAAGGTATCAGAAATAGTTTGATAGCTTGTGAATCTGTGAGGTAGTATTTTGATTGTTTAATTCAGTAATACAACATTATTCATTAATTGCCATTTCTTGCAAATATAGTTCAGAAAGGAGTTTTTAAATTTATTTTAAATAGTTTTAAAATAATTATGATAACACTAGGGTTAGTGTTATTACCTAAATGGCATCATACAATTTATATACATATGTTCATAAAGCTCATTCAATCTTGAATGTGTAAACATACTAATTGCTTTTGTACAAGTTATTTATATGGTTGACACATGCCCTGTGAGGATTATATATATATAAGCTTTCTGTTTATTCTTTATAATCTATCCATCTGGAATCTTTCAATTAAATGGCTAAACTTGACTTAAAAGAAAACAAGTTTGATTTCGACAATCAGCTCGGAAAGATCCTAACAGAAAAGATCATAAAATTCCATTGGATTAATGAGGCTTGATTAATTTGGAACATGACATTTTTTGGGGCAACAGAGACATGAATGTGCTTTTTTATAACTAATGTATTGACATTTTACAACTCTTATTGTAAAAAAACTAAAATTATTTGCTGACCTTACCTCTTGTCAATGCCAAATTTGATTGATTAGAGCTAATAAAAATAAAAATTGATCTTTTTTTTTAAATACTCAATGGTGCAAACACTTGTCTGCAATTCTTAAACAACCAAGACATCATAAATAGAGGAAATAAAAGATTGCATGTTTTCAACCCAAAATAACTTATTAAAAATACAGTTTACAGAATACTATTATTATTTCAACTTTCTGCTTATTTTTTGTGTCTAGAGGTTTTTTTTCTTGTTTTTTTTTTGGACAGTGTTTTGACTCCTAGAGGTTAAAATGTTTGGTTAATCTACTCATGACTAAAATTGTCTGAGTTGATTACAAAACACAATCAAACACATTTGTATTGATCCATTATTTTGTAAACTATTTCCAACAGATTGTATTGATTGCCAAAGATAAGGGGACACCAGTGCTTCAATCTGATCCATTCACAGTAACCATCACTCCCATTCGTGACCAGTATGCACCGGTTTGGCAAAATACTCCTTACAACTTCCAAGTTATTCTCCCACTGGGTAACAACCAGCTAATCAGCACACTGACAGCAACAGATGGTGATTCGGTAAAGAAATTTTGAATTTTTTCTAATTTAAAATAATTATTTAAATTAAATTTATGTTGAGAAATACAATTATGACCACCAGTGAAAAATGACAGAAAGATTTATTCTGACAATGTTTCACATTTTAAAAAAACCTGATAAACATTAATGATTGCATTTAAATAAGCAATTCTTTCACAAAACTTTTAAATCATATATGTCCCATGTAGACATGCACTTGGTTATTATATGCATGAGTAAACAAGGATAATTACTAAGTATTTCATTGCTGAAATATAATATAATGTTCTTAAAATTGGATCATTCAAATCATTATTTAAAAAGTCTAAATTCTACTTACTAGATACTTTTGATATCAATAATCCTTCAAGCATATTCTCAAATAAGATATTTAAAATTAAATTTGGCTACAAGTTGAATAACGTGTAACTGGTGTTGTTTTAAAATGCTAGGCACCCTTCAACCAAATGACTTTTGATGTCCTTTCCTACAATGGATCCCCATTGTTCACCTTTGCAAACCCAACAGCTACAACTGTAGAGATAAGAGCACCAAGTGATACCAGTGTTATCAATGCAGACAATAGACCTCAGCACTTTGTAAGCTCAGAAAATAACAGGATCAAATAAAAATAATAAACCATGTAATTAAATTGGAGCTATGATTTTCATTAAGAATGTACCAATTAAGTTAAACAAATTAGATAACTCATTTCCAAAATGTTCTCAGAAAAGTTCTATATCAATGTTGTTGGGGTTTAAAAAAATATTTATTTTTTTTATTTTGCGCAATTGATTAATGACAAAAAATGAGCTGATGCAATGCAGCATTTTATTTTTACATGCTCAAAGATAAAATTATATTTAAAAATCTACAAATAGAAGGTTGCATTATAATATTTTCTGCTTCCATGACAGTTTTATGCTCGGGTCCGGGACAACGGCTTGCCACAAAAGTTTGACATTGACCTAGTAACTATAAATGTCAACAACAATCGCAATGGTCCCAGGTAAATAAGTCTGCACTTTTGAATATAGTCACACAATCTTTATTTCCTGGTTGATCACTTTGAACAGAATTTATGGATTGCATTCTTACCTAAAATAGATTTTTGTGGCTGATGATTGAAAAAAACCTATTTTAAATTACACTTTTAGTTTCACAACTACCAGCAAGACAATTACCATCACTGAAAATGAGACCCCGGGCAGTATCCTCACTAGTTGCACCGCTACAGATGGTGACAGTGGCAACAATGGTGTTGTTGTTTATTCTAACAGTCTAACTGCCACTAATGCATTGTAAGTCTTTTTACAAGATTGTCATTAAGAAAAAAAGAATTAAATTTTTATTTAATACTGGAAACATTGCAGTTAACTTTTTATGTATAGACTAATGAAGCTTTATAATAAAAAAAAATTATATTTGGATTGCAATCTTATTTGTTATTCAGAAATTGGTTAATATGCACATTATTTTACCTTAGAAATTGTATATGGTCTTAGCCAGCACTTTAATTTACCTCTCATTATAACAAATATTTTTTTGGTTACATTTTAAGCTAATAAAATCAATCTATGAGTCACTGGCCATTTTATTTTCATGAATATATTAGACAACCCACAAAAGTCAAGTAGTATTTATAATACCATCAATAACTTGAGATGTTATTTTCAAGAATATATTAGAGCAGACACATAAGTCAAGTAATATTTATGATACCATCAGTAACTTGAGATGTTATTTTCATGAATATATTAGAGCAGACACATAAGTCAAGTAGTATTTATGATACCATCAATAACTTGAGATGAACCTGTTTGTATGCCAGGCCTTACTTTGGTGTTATTGAGAGCAACAGCAACATAGTTCTACAGAGAGACCTGCATGAAGACAGAAGCACTCTTCAGTACATTGTAGTGATTACAGCTCGCGATAGTGGTACTAGTCCATTGCCAGCCCCAAACACGTGCACAGTTACTATTGTTGTCAATCGTAACCAGTTTGCACCAGTTTTTATCAACACGCCGTATGACAAGGCACTGCCCCGCACAGCCCCAATAGGGCAATCTGTAGTTACCGTAACAGCAACTGATGCTGATACAGTGGTAAGTTGTCTTGGCTTAAGTCAGATTGTTTTGTCATTCTTATCACTATGATAATATGGATCAGATGTAAAAAGTACAAATATATTCTGTTGTAGTTTACCTGCAAGAGAAGACTTTTGTCCAATCACCACATTTTTTAAGACATGAATAAATTTGTTAACAGCAACCAATTTTATAATGTCCAAATTAAAATAAAATTGGCTTCCAATTATTCGAAACTGCTGTCTCAAAAGAGTTGTGGACTTTTGATTATTTGATTGCACTGATAACTTTCATAATCCCTTGCTCTCAACAGAACCCATTTAACTTGGTGAGTTATGAGATTGTACGTCAGTCAGTAGATGCCTTCATCATTAATCCTTCCAGTGGACTAATCTCGGTCAATGCTGCACTTGGTCAGTCGACTTACACAGTGAGTAAAATCAAGTTTGTTTATTAAATTTACTTAATCAATTGCTATGAATGATTGCACTTTTTTGAGTAATATTACAGATCAGTCACAAATGTAATCAAGCACCCATATATAGAACTAAATAGCACATTGAAATGTTTCCTGCAGATCGCTGTGAGAGCTTACGATGGTGGTAAGCCATCACTTTCAGCTTACAACGTCTTTACTGTCACGGTCAATGGAAATCTCGAAGATCCTCGGTTCACGACTCCTTCAGCCGGCAATTCTTACTCAGCTACGACTGAAGTCCTGGAGAATATCAAATTGAATGACACTGTCTTCACTGTGTCAGCCATTGATGGGGATATTGTAAGTAACTACTAAAATTTATTCTTTTATTTCAATGCTCAAGGTTTTGCTAGTGAAGTAAAAAAAGAATAAGTTTTCCAGTAAATTGTTTCTCTATTATTTGATGATAGTATTAGCTCTTAAATAACATTTTTCAGGATTTAAGAAATGTATTCTCAAAAATCATTTAATCAAATGTATAAATTTTCTTCAAATGATCAAAGTTTTCAACTCCGCTGTTAAAATAATTATTAAATCTAATCTAGGTGTCGAATAAATTTACATAAAGATCACAGTTTATTACCAAGTGTAACCAATCTAAAAGTTAATTTTACACATTGTTAACCACAAAATGAGAATATATTTAACATCTCTACAAAGATTTGCAAGAAACAGGCAAAGTTTTGAGAACAACTGGTCATCTATTGAAATGCTTATAAAACATAAAAATGTTTGTAAAATATGTGAAAAGAACATTCCAATATGGTAAAGAAATAATTCATTAGCAAACTATACATGTCATTTTGAAAGGGTGATGCTGGCCGGGTGAGCTACTATCTTGTTGGTAACAATCAGGCAGCCATGTATTTCCAAGTAAATCCCGACACTGGTGTCATCAAAACTAGGACATCACTACTTCAAGATACAGCCATTCAATACATTGTAGGTTCTTTTTTGTTTTTCTCTTGTGTAATAATTTTGTTATCAACTGCATCCTGTTTTCTTTTTGTCTGAAGAATTCAAGAGTGGGGTCTGAACACTTTTATTTTTTCTTTTAACTGGAATATAATAATTCTGTCATAATCAATACTTTTGTAAACATTTGGTTGTTTTTTTTACATTTTCCAAGAAAATCTTAAGTGAGACCTTTCAATCTAAAAATGGTATAGGTATAATTGGAAAAAATAATGTCTTTTATTATAATAAACACAGTATTGGAATTGAAGCTAAATCTTAACTATTGACAATTTTACACAATAAAATAAATAATAGAATGCTAATACATGTGCCACAAATACAACTGCCCTACTTTTTTGTTTTCCTTCTGTCACAGCCTGAACATAACTTCACTTATATATTTTTTAAACTATAAATCAATATATTTTCATATTGACCTTTCAAAATAGTGATTTTAATTTTGAACTTCCATAATGCATATCTCAATTTGTTTTATAGTAATGTTGCCCTAGGTCCCAGATTTCTTCACATTCCATTTTGTTTTGTTTGTGTCTCAGTTCTACATCATCGCTCGAGACAATGACCCCAGCCCCAGACAGGCAGCCAACACAGCCACTGTCACCGTCAATGTATACAGGAATACATTCACACCACAGTTCAATGGCCAGCTGTGCAATGGCGTCATCAATGAAAACTTAGCAGTGGGTCAAGCTGTTACTAGTGTTACAGCAACTGATGCTGATAGACAGGTACCATTTTGTAATATTTACAATAGAAATAACATCAAGGTGTACACTAGTAAAAGTAATAAATAAACATGATTTTTCTTATTGAAAACCTTTCAGTAACATTCAATAACTAGTTTAAGATTACTCATTTCTACAGAATACCTTTGAGACTGTGAACTATGAGTTAATTGGAGATGGAGATGCACTAGGTTTCTTCCAGTTGAGTAACAGACTCTCAGGATCGGTCAGTCTGCGCAGCAGTTTGTCTGGCACAGCAGCTACTATTCTTTACGTAAGTATTGGGCTGGTACTCAGTGCAGTGTATGAGAATACTGAAGCTGATTTAACAAAGTAGATCATTACATCACAAATTTAACAACTAAGCATCATTGACATTTAATTTGGAACTATTTTTGTGTTTGTATTTTTCAAATTTGTAAAGATTCTGTATATAAACAACTTATTGTTATGAACAATGTATGCATTGATGTATTGCATCTAAATCTAACATTTAAACATCCATTTGTTTAAAGTTGAGGATTGTTGCAAAGGATAATGGGGAGCCTCCCAAGAGCAGCACAACAAGTTGCACCATCACTGTCAACAAAAATTTGTTTCCCCCTGCCTGGGCGGGAGTTACTGATCCTAATAATCCCTCTTATCTTGTCACAATTAATGAGGAACAACAAGTTTTTGCACCTTTTTTACGACTGTCAGCAACAGATGCAGATTCTCAGGTAGGATTAACTTATTGAATAAAAGAGCCCAGTAATGTCAGGCACCACCTCTGGATTCCTCCACCTTTTTAAATATCTGTAACCCAACACTGTTAGCCACCTGAAAGGTTTGTTACAATTTTATCTTTCTAACCTTGTTAGCCATCTGAGACGAATTAATAATTAAATATCTATTAAAACACTTTCAGCCACCTGGCAAGATTGAATACATGTTTATCGAACATTTTAGCCACCTGACATGATTGAATACATGTTTCCCTAACACTGTTAGCCCTCTGACAAAATTGAACACATGCATATCTAACACTGTTAGCCATCTGACATGATTGAATAAAAGTTTATCTAACTCTGTTAGCCACCTTACAAGATTGAATACATGTTTATCTAACACTGTTAGCCATCTGACATGATTGAATAAAAGTTTATCTAACTCTGTTAGCCACCTGACAAGATTGAATGCATGTTTATCTAACATTGTTAGCCACTTGAAATTCATTAAATACATGTTTATCTAACACTGATGGCCACTTGACATGATTGAACACATAATTATCTTTCTAACACTGTTAGCCATCTGACATGATTTAATACATAATTATCTTTATGATTGAATACATGTTTATCTGACACTGTTAGCCACATGACTTGATTAAATACATGTTTATCTAACACTGATAGCTACCTGACATGATTTAATACATGTTTATCTTTCTAACACTATTAGCTACCTGACATGACTAAATACAAGTTTATCTTTCTAACACTGTTAGCCACCTGACATGATTGAATACATGTTTATCTAACACTGTTAGCCATCTGACATGATGAATTACATGTTTATCTCTCTAACACTTTTAGCCATCTGATATGATTGAATACATGTTTATCTAACACTGTTTAGCCACCTGACATGATTGAATACATGTTTATCTAACACTGTTAACCACCTGACATAATTGAATACAAGTTTATCTTTCTAACACTGTTAGCCACGTGATATGACTAAATACATGTTACCTAACACTGTTAGCCACCTGACATAACTGAATATATGTTTATAACACTGTTAGCCACCTGACATAATTGATTACAAGTTTATCTTTCTAACACTGTTAGCCATCTGATATGATTAAATACATGTTTATCTAACACTGGGATCACACACTTTGTCTGCTGATTTATAAATACCAGATCTTGACTGAATCCTCGCGGAATTCAGTAACCTGCTAAAGTGTATATCAAAGGTGAATTTTGCAGCACTTATAAATACTGAATTTAATTAGATCTAACTGTAGTGATTGATTTTTTCATGCTTCGATAGCTTTAAAAAAGGCTTTTTATTTATCAGTTACATAAATAGATAAAGGGTTATGGTTCTGTTTTTGAAATTCAGCAGCATTGCCCACCATTACTGTAAATTACTTAATACGAGACATTAATTAAACTTTAGCTGATTAAAATTTTCACCTAGCAATCGGTGTCCAGTTCACCGAATATATAAAAATATAATTCTTTATGTTATACAAGTAATATGTTTATATTTTACACATTGCATGTTTGCATTATAAACTGTAGTAAATACTTTGTATTTAAAATATATTTAAATATTTGTTTAAATTGTACAAGTAATCTTTTGTATGTTCCCCATGGCTTTTTTCTTTCAACTCAGTCGCCCTACAACGTGCCAGAATTCTATTACAACCCATCCAATCAAGGATCCTTTGTTTACTTCCATGTCAGTGCTGATGGATATGTGTCAGCCATTAGTAGTCTCATGGGAACCACGGGAACCACCAGCAATTCATACTCTGTATGTCTTTTACAATGATTTTACATTTTGTATCTTAAATCCCTTTTTAATAAAAGAAAATAGAATTTCTTTTAAATAATCAAACATGAATAGCAGACAACAGAGAAGCAATAAATGAACTCTAGATTTTGATTAAAAAATGGATACATAGATGAAAAGAGATATAAAAAAGATATTTAATATAATCCAATAAAATTGCTTTAACATAAGTGTTTTAATCATTCAATTTGATTTTTTGTGTAGTGGACTATGGGCTTGAGAGACAGAGGAATTCCAGCTCTCAACAACAGCCACACAGCAAC